ATGAGCTCAGCCCCCTCCTTTTTTTTTTCTTTATCAAATTTTTTTTTTTTAAAGCTTTATAGCCCAAATCAGCACTTTTGAAACAGGAAGTGAAATAGAGGGATATGAGGCATGGCTAGAATGGGTGGTCTGTTTGGTATTTTGAGCAAAACACTTCATAGACATGTTTTTTATATATTTTTATATATCTGAGACCTATGCTATTGCCTAAAAATAGCATGATAGGTGCACTTTAAATAATTGCAGGATTTAGACATTATCTGAAGCGAAACCACTGACTCCCACTAGATCATTTTACTCCTTATTTCTCTCGCTAATGAAGTCTGCGGCTTGTGCCAAAAAGTTGATTCAGAACTCAAACATGTGTTTTGCTTGCTGTTACTTGATGATTTATGTTGAGAGTAAGATAGCTGCTGCTCTATTCTAAATGTAAAACATTTTTTGAGACATCACAACTGTAAGGAAGTAAATTAAATGTCGGAACATGAAACCTCCAGCACACCTATACTGAGAAGGGACTCACTGAAGTAGACATATTGTAGAACGGACTAGACTCAGAGAACATATTTTAACCAGCAGTTACACGAATGTATCATGTGGCTTTCTTAAGTGACACTTTTCTTTTTGTACCGAGCCACATGAGCTCAATTTTTGCTTGAGCAAAGCAGCAGCAAACACGACACCTTGCTATAAATGTGAATTGTGAAGGATTGTTTGCAGCCGTCAGATGCAGCATTAGTTCAGATTTTCTCAAATGAAAATATCTCTGAAATAGAAAAGGTCCACAGATTTTGGCAAAATCAGGCAGGTAGAAACATTTCTAAGCATCAAAAATATCTTGTAAGGAAGTAGAATCCACTTTTGGAAAACCAGTGTCATTTTTAGCACAAAGGAAGAGAGACATGACATGCATCAATCCCCAAAGTTTTCTCAAAACCTTCGAAGATATTGTGTATGACAGGCGGGCAGACAGACGAACGGGCTGGGACCAGTCCTTTGTGCTTCTTAGATTTCATTTTGCAGGACAAAAAAACGTTGACTTGTGAAGCTGAAAGTAAGCGCTTCTCGTTTTGTGTATGTGGCCTTATTGTGTTGGGCATTCACATTGGGAACAGAGTGGGACTGCAGGGGATAAAGAGAGGCTTCTGAGGTGAGCACTTCATCGCCTAGAAACCAGTGCTGTCTGACAGTGTGAATAATATTGTCATTCCTACTTTCAAGGTTTCAAGTTGATTCTTCACTTTTCTCACAGCCAATTCACTGATTAGATTTTTTTTGTTCACGTCCTGTCATTTGTACTCTTCCTTTATTGTATTCAAAGGCTATTGAAAATACTGGAAAATGAGATATACATTATATTCCACAGTGTGTGCCTTTCTGAAGTAGGAAGTAGATTGAAAAGGAAAGACACATAATACAACATGAGTCTTTAGAGAATAGGTTTTATAGTGTCATAAGCTTAACTCAACAAATAGTAAGAGACCGTCCTCCGTTTCTTGAGTGTTTTTCTCCCCCTTGTTCCCACCCCCTCCCCCCCCCTCTGTTCAGTAACAGGTTGTGTTTAGCTTCTCTGCTCCCTACTTCCTCGTCTGGCATGTCTGTTCTTTCAGTCCAGAGTCTAAAGTTCAGCCAGAGACAACAGGAAGGGAGCATCACATCGTTCACTCGTAGAATTTCACAACACACACACATTTGTTTTTCATTTTTTACTTAGACAAACACAGTCTTCCTTTGCTGAATACTCGCCCCCTCAGTGTATGAATGTTGTAGTGTGTGACTAAATAATGAATGGTGTTACAATAATTTGATGAGATTGGGTCAGATGATGCAAGGAGGAAGTGGATAATGATAATGCTCTTGATGATGTCTTACAGCTTATTATGCTGTTCCACAAATGATGCCCCCAGACACCCACACCGTCTTTGAACTACTCCCACCCGTGGGTGACGCATTAGCAACCTATGTGGAGTGGATGTAGCCCTGAGAAAAAGGTACTTGTGTCTCTGGTGTTTAATAAGCCCACCACTATGAAGCTGGGAGTCTGAGTTGAGCATCTGACCCCCCTCGGATCCCTCCCTTCCCGCGCCTGATCCCTCCCCCATGTCTCTCAGACCATCTCCCATCATCCTCTCTCATTCTTCCTCCTCTTTATACCCTCCTCAACAGATTTCTGTAGCTTCCTCCCCTCTCTTTTCCGTCCACGCTCCTCCCTCGGAGCGCCTGCTTGCGCTCCACTCTGCCTGTCTTCCTTCAACACATGCCAGGACTCCAGGGGCAGCAGTTACACAGCGAGGATTTCATTTGAAAGAGCTCCTCAGGACGTCATTATAAGGATCATCACCGGGCCTCACGGCTGATGTTACATTAGTCTTCCATCACACACACACACTGAGCCTTTAAAGTGCCTATTAACTAGCCAACCCTCTCATCACGCAAATCTGAATCTTTCTCTGAGATTGGTAATGTCCATTAATCTGCAATTGACTGTTCCTATCTATCAATCCAATCAAGAGCGTGAGATGAGAAACCATATGTCTGTCATTTGAAGTGTCTCTGGTTTTTATGCAATTGTAAAACATTTTGTAGATTAGAAAAACTGATTGCTTGGAACAACTGGTAATTGGACGTGTCAGATTTGGCAGAAACCGACATTTGAGGAAGTTTGATGGTGTTCTGCAAATAGAACAGCATGTTGCATTGGCTTCAGTTGAAGCAACATATAGGCTTGATCTTATCATACAGCTCCAGATGCATGTCTTTTTTAGCTTTGTCACTATTCATCCTTTTTGCTGAATGATTAAGGGTTAACTCCTGTTTTGCAATGTGTTCCTTATTTCGAAAAAGAAAATATTGAGTCCCACCCACCTTGTTATCAAGCAATTTGTACTCTGGCCTTTGCACTATACAAAAAAAAAGCAGTGAGCACTTAGCTATGTATCTTACAACAATTCAAATTGTGCCACTCCAGCTCTGATTGTTTTTTCTTCAACCCTCAGAGCTGCACTTACAGTGTGATTTGCCGGTAGGTGCTTATAGGTTTTGTACTAGGTGTCATGGAAACAAACAAAAAAGGCTTTTTGGAGACTATGAGGATAGAAATTGTTGAACAAATACCTTATTTCAAATACAATTATGGGTAGAGCTGATTTCACATCCACTTGTATCAGCTATGATGTAGTTTTTCCAAAAATAAATTAGAAATAATGGTATCTTAAACCAATGACAATCAGAAATCTCCAGGCACACTCTTTTGCAAAATGTTTAAAAATGCCTTAAAAGCAATATTTGACCAGCCTTCTCCAGCTGATTATCCCTTATCTCCATTTTTCTGTTTTTTCCTTTAAATAACCTAGCCCCTCTTCACATTGGACACCTACAGTATAGCCACTCCAAACCAGGCAGTGACTACCTCTTAATACACCAGCTTGCAATCCCCCAACCACCCCTCTATCCTGCCTATCCAACCTTATTAATCTCGTCTCCACCCAACAATTGTATCTTCCATTCATTGCAAACATAAGACACAGTATCTGAAGTGAAACAGAATGAATATTAAGTGGGTAGCAGTTGGACCAGGCTCATAGTACTACTGTAAATAGTATCCCCCCTCCTCTCTCTATGGCTCTCTCAATCATGCTTCTCCAGCTCCACGATAAAGCACCATGTAGAGTGGTATGAGCTCCATCAGCCATGCAGATGAGTCCTGCTTCTTTTACCTTAATTAGAGCTCCCAGGGGACTGGCTGTGGGCGCGAGCAGCATCAGCCTCTCATTCCACAGAGATACCTTTCATCAAGCCCGAGAACACCCGTAGGAAAACTGACATGCGTACAATGGCTCGGGCACTGCACAGAAGAGATTTTAAAAGCAGTTATTAATGGGAAATGTTCCAGCATGATATTCAAGGCTGGTCATTTTAACAGCAGGGAGAAATTTGACATTTTGCAGAAACTGAAATCCAACCAGTAGAATATAAAAGCTCTATTGTTCACACAAACGTATACGGACTGTGAGAAATTAGGAGTTCAGTCAGGCAGAGCTGAAACCATTAGTCAATTTATTGATATTTTGAGGCAAAAATACCCAAATTGCATGCAGTTTCTAAAATGTGGTAGTTGGCTGCTTTTCATGGATTTCTATAAACATTGAATTTTGTAATTTGTTTGGACAAAACAAGCAAATTGATGCTATACAGTACTATTTCCTGATAAGAAGCAAAGGTTTAATCAAATATTCAAGAAAATAACTGATATTGATGATCAATTAAATATTTAGTTGATTAATAATAAAAATAAGAAGTAGGTTTACAGCATAATGTCACATTTGTTGTAGACCTACTGTATATTGTTATGATACATTTTGTTTTTTATTACAAATTTCACAAATATCAATATCTTCTAAATAATTGTAAAGTATTTTATCCAAAATACAAATATGTTCAGATGACAATTAGTAGACTTTTGTCATTTTTGTTGGAAAAATTAATTAATAATCATTTTCTGATCCATCTACCAATAGTTTATTGGAAATGTTTTTGCTGAAAGTCAATTAAAATATTGTTTTAAACAATTTGAAAACTATCAGAACATTCTAATTGTCTAACAACTATCACACGACATATATACACCGCCATATATACACTGAAAATAAAAAAAAAGTTTTAAAAAAGTAATTATAAACTGTCCCCTCTTTCCGCACACCTTCCTGTCCCTCCCCTTTAAACGGGGAGGTGCTCCGGTGCTCTCCCCAAGCCCGGTGCTCGCCGCTGCGCTCCGGGAGGGTAGAGAGGGAGAGAGGGCTGGCTGAGAGCGGACGCGTCGGAAACCTCCCTGGAGGGGCCCCGTGTAATTCGATGCATGCTGTTAAAGCTTAGAGTATATTGTCTTCCCTTTGCTTATGAAGCCTCCACCCACCGGCCCACCCTACATTTAGCGGATCATGTGACTCGGGGTAAGTCATTTGCAAGTACAACAGTTCTCTGTGCGCTCCCATTCATTTCCTGAGAACTGCCTGAGCTGAGCAGCTGAGAGGCAGAAGGGGAGGGAGCTGCTCACTCACACACTCTCACACACACATTGTCACACACACACGTACATACACGCAGAGTGAGAGAAGAGGAGAGGGAGAGGAGGATAGGAGACAGAGAGGATTGTAGAAAAGGAAAACAGTCTCCACGGCTCCGCAGCTTCTGACAAGGTCTGTGCATTTTTTCGTCCTGTTCCTCTGCTGGCTGCTGCTGTGTGCTTCATTTGTCACGTTGCTGGGCTTTGTGCTTGTGTTCAGTGCGTGTCGTTCAGCTGTCATTTCCCTGTCACAGCAGATGACAGCTCAGATCACCTATGGCATTGTGTTTGGTGTCTGTCAATGGGGGAAAACAAGAGACCCTGCATGGTGCTGACTGCACCTGAAACACTTATTCCCAATGTAAAATCATCAGCTGTCATAACAAAAGAGGGGAAAAAAGTGATTGTACACTGAGTGACCATGGGCATTATCAGCATCCTGACTTCAGCTGCATGTAGTTGTCCTATTTATCACTTATTTACCTCTGAAATAACTTATCAGCAGAGCAGAGCAGCAGCATCGTAGAGAAATACTGCCTGCCTTGGTGTAAGTGTGAAAGTGAGACCAAAGCACCAAACTCTCTCTCAGCACAAAGTTTGCTGCTTGTCAGAGTTTTGCGCATGCCTTTAGAGAATTGTGCATGTGTGGGTGTTGCATTTGTGTGAAGCATTGTGGTGTGTGTTTGTGTGTGTGTGAGAGAGAGAGAGAGAGGGAGGCTTGTTTGCCTACTTGCCCACTGTGGCCGCTTAGAGACAGAGAAACGAGACTGTTAGCAACGGGTTAAACATTAGGAGGCTCGGGTAGCGGAGGAAGGACACTGGGGGGGAGGTGTGTGTGTGTGTGTGTGTGTGTGTGTGTGTGGGGGTGTGTGTGTGTGTGTGTGTGTGTGTGTGTGTGTGTGTGTGTGTGTGTGTGTGTGTGTGTGTGTGTGTGTGTGTGTGTGTGTGTGTGTGTGTGTGGGAGTGTTGCAGGGGTGGTGTCTTGGATGTCATCGGCAGCACTCTCACTTCCAGGGTAATAGTCATTGGTATTGATGGGTGGCTGTCAGAGAGGCAGAGAGCCACCAGGTTGGGGAGAGTGGCCGGGGGCTGGCCCTTGGCTGTTATTTTCAATTACAGGGGACCAGGGCAGAGCTGACAGCAAAGGCATTTGTACATCCAACAAGGGGGAGGAGGAGGGTGTCTGTGTGTGTGTGTGGAGGGGAGGGCGGGGGCCGGAGGGAGAAGGAGGGAGGGAGAAAGGTGGGAGGGAGATGAGACTCTGGCCTCTGCTCCTGGGTTTGATGTGGAAACTGAGCGCTGACCTCTGTGACTTTACCCCCGCGTTGCAGAGAGGCCCTGTCTTGCCTTTAACTGTGTGACAGCCGTAGGGTGTGTGTATGTGTGCGTTTTTAAGTGGGGGTCTCATCAACAACCAAAAAAAGGCAGAAGGGAGGAGGGCTGGGTCATGTATGTGTTGAGCAGACCCCCTGCAGCTCACGGATGTTCAGAGTGAGATTAGTGCCCATTTAAACTCACACTTAAATCCATTTACAAAAGAGGTCTTCTCCCTGCGCATGAATAAGCAGGCTGATATTACCACACATGCAGAAGAGACTCTACGCTGTCAGTGAGCAGCGAAGAAGATTTATATTGGATCTCTGAAATGTGCCATTACCCGAAATTAATGTCATTCTGCATTGTATTTTCATCACGATATAAATCAATGCTGAAGAATACACTGCAGTCTTACTTCTGCAACATTGACCAACATGTCGAGGTGTCACAGTCAGCAATAGATAGCTGCCATTAGTGGTCTTTAGAACACGTACGGACAAATCCTTAACACTGAATCTTCAAACTGAACTGACTTTAATGGATCTTTATGGTGACTTAACGATTCAGTGGCTCTCCGCAGAGGAGCTTCTCTCACTGCTCACTGAAAGCATTGTTTAGATCAGTCGTGGTATAAAGTACATTTAACGTATATTGAAAGACCACGAAAGCCACAGAAACCGTCTTTATGTGGTAACTCACAAATAGTTTGCTTCTGAGCTGTTGACCTTAGAAAGTGTTTGTTCTGACTGGATGTACTTAGCTGATGACAGTCAACTGTTCACTTTTTGAAGATGTGGATATCGAGTTTTGTTTAAAAAATAACGTCATTGGCTAGGTCAGAAAATAAGTGAATGAAAAACAGTAAATCTTTGAATTAAGTGATTTGAAGTAGCGTGCTTTGTCATTTCAACATATAGCTGTCATCCTCTTACAGCATTTTTTAAAGAGTTGAAAAAGGCTTTTCAAATGTTTGAATTGGCATATTCTGTTTGAATGTCTTTCACTTTATGTCATGATAAGTCAAATTGGTCAGTAATTCAAAACATTCTTCCAAAATAATGAACAAAAAAGTGTGTTGTCCATGCACTCAACAAAAAAAACTGTATCCATGTATTGCATAAGTTTATGCAACGCCCCAATCAGCAGACAATATCAAGACGTAGGGAGCCTGTGGCTCAGTGGATAGTGTGATGGACTTCGAATCAGGGGTAGCAAGTTCGAGTCTCACTGCAGTCAGCATGTCGTTGTGTCCCTGGGCAAGACACTTCACCCCAAATTGCTCCTGTGGGGATTGTCCACATGTATGTAACTCGCTTTGGAAAAAAGCGTCTAACAAATGACATGTGAATGTAATGTAATGTAAAAGAAATGCTTAACACTGGTGAATATTCAGTGGGATTTTCGCACAAAAATGACGAAAAAAATGTTAGGAGAAGATCATAGTCTGGGTTAAAATCACTACACAAGAACATGCACTTGATGAAATCCTGATATGATTATGAATGATATAAAAAATCATATGGTTTTCATCATGAACAATATAAAGTAGTACCAAGTAGTTTCCCCCCCGTCAGCATCAAGCTGCTATACTGTCTCTCTCATTCCGTCAATGGCTCAACCCCCCACCCCCGACACGGTCCAAGGGCTTATGATAGAGATCAATGCAGGTGGGGGGACTCAATTAAAAAGCCAATCACCAACAGATAGACTACATCCGTCCATCAACACTACTCTGCCCAGCCCATTTAATTGCGCTGCAGGATTCCCCCACCAAAGGCATCATCTGTCTGCTACACATCACAACACACAAATTGGGCGCGCGTTGACAGATTGAATCTTTCAGGCAGAAGCGCTGCGCTGTAGTATGTGCAATCTAACAACATACAGGCTCACTGTCTTATTCAGGGAGATGTAAAACTCCCTGTATTACCCCTAATCAGCCGGGTTAACTGCTGCCATATTGACGGACTGCTGGATCATTGATCCAGGTGGGTGTTACGGAGTGTATCGTCATTGATTGCAGATAGACCGCAGTGCACTGGATTCATTTGGGTCTCTGACTGTAAGCCGAAGCCAAAGAGGAGTGAGTTGGGTTTTATTGGTTGGTTGTGCTCAAGGTGCATTGTGGGATATCCTGTGGCCTCTGGTCAGGGAGTTGGTGTTGTGTCAAACACAGATTTTCAGCCACAGGAGACTATTATATAGGCAAAGACCCTGAAACACATGCACAATGACACACACTGCAATGCTCTTACAATAGACTAGCATGTCAAGGGCATGCGTATACAATGTGTGAGACAGACGGCACCCAAATAGACGGGTGACTTTGTATATTGATAGATGTACCTGAGCAAAAGTCATAAGGACAAAAAGGTTATAGAGCGAGAGGGTTAAACAGCTTAACGTTTTTGCAGTTATTGTGGTGGTAATCCATTCTGTTAGCGTTTGTAGTGACGTTGAAGTGCCTGTGCGTGAAATAAGACAAATATTAATAGGCGATGGCTGTGAGCTGAACTCCCAAAGGCTGTTATTGCACCATGTCAGAAGATGACAAAATGTTCTCTCCCTTTGCGATTTCTCATGTGGATTCAACCTTTGACCCCAGTGTCCAGCCCACGTTTGTTTACCAAAATTGAGTTAAGGGTGTACATGGAGTGCTAGAGCATGTGTGTTTTGTGACTGTGCACGAGAGAGAGGGAGAGAGAGAGAAGAGTACGGAAAGTATTGTGCAACTGCCCGTGCGTCTGAAGCTTCTCGTCTAAGTATTGAACACAGACAGAACGAAAAACAATTGGAAAATGCGTGATTACAGCTCGTCAAACATCACGGTGAGTATTTTACATTTTGCTGCGTTGCTCTGGGGAATTCTTTTAAGAGCCTATTATTGTTTTAACCTCTCTAGAGCACCCAAGCTTATCTTTTGACATAAAGAAAAGTTGCCAACAAACCGAGGCAGAATTTAAGGTGATGCTGCCTGACAAGCGCAGTGATTTTTCTTTTTTCTTGTAATGACACTATCTCTAGGGGTAGCACACTCAGTGCTTACTGGAAATGACTCATTTAGTCTAGCATTCCCCCTCCGACTCAGATTTTAAGGTTGCTCGACATGTTTCCATGGCTAGGATGGAAAGGCATGTCAATGGAAGGCCTGTCTATCTATGTTGATATTTCCCCTGTCGGACAAGTGTGTGTTTTACTTTGGCCAAATATGGTTGGTGATCAGGGGGGAAGGAGAAAGGGAAGGGAGCCAAGAAAAGAGGATGGAAGAGTGTTCAAAGTCAGCACTTTGTGATGTGGACCCTTTTTTAGCTGGTTTTTAAGAGTTTCCCTTTACAGAACCTTTGGGGAGCTGCTTCTCTCAAGCCTCGGTGCAGATGGCTTCAGCAGACCTGCGTTCGGATGCTGCAGGGATCACTGTGAACTTTGTTTTCAGTTATACTGTAGGTCAAGGAAATTATGCAAACAACATGTGGAGTCGATTTGGGGTGCCTGTGGCATTCCACAGGATCTTTGGCTTTAACTCAAACAAATGTAGGTTCAAGCTCTGGACCATAACTCCTCTTAATTAGCGGCTTCAACCAGGTATCAGCACGGCACCGCATCAGTTGGAAAATAGAGAAGAAATGATCGAAGCGAAGGCGTGAGTAGATGAGTAATAGAGGTAAACACAGCTGCTGGCTTTTATTGAGTAGTGTTGGAGAGCTGAAATGGGTCAAACCAAGGGGAAAAACTCTGTGAGCGAAAATAACTGCGCGCACATTTGAAGTAATAAGTGTCAGTGTGTTGGAATGTTTTGGTTGGTCCGTTATTTTCTGT